GTTACCATTTATTGTGCCCAATAAAAAACAAGCAAAAACTAATAATTAAAGAAAAAGAAAAATACCCACCCATCACCAAACTCACACCCATCCAATTCCGTCATTTAATTTTTTTGTCGAAATCATCACCCTCAATTTTTTTTTAGTCGATTTAATTATCAGATTATTTCAAATGGGGAATATTCAGCAAACAAAACCCTTTAATTAAAGGTTAACAACTTAAGATTAAGTGAAAGAACATGTGTCAAAAAGTTAAATAGGATACAAGGCGAGCACATGAAAAGTGGTAACAGAAGAGTGAAACTCGACCAGGTCGGAGATTTATGGCCTTAATTTTGCCTTAGAATTAAGTAGTCATTTTACATATTTTCAAATTTTTATGATTTGACTTGATTTTTAATTAAATTAAAATATATTCCAACACAAAAAATGACATGAAACTATTGAATTTTAAGTAAAAGAATTGAAAACAGCTCACATGACCTTCACAGAAAATAAAAGAAATATATATTTTTTAGATCCATGGAGGAGTGGGGAATTGCATTTGGAATCTCTTCCAAACAAAAATGTATGAGGAAGATAAATTCAACATGAGATGGGAGATCAAAGAAAGAACTTTTAATGAAGCACACAATGCAAAATTTGTAAAATAACATTTATAGTCCTTCTAGTTTTGTAAATATTTCAATTAAGGACTTATAGTTTCAATTTAAGCAAGTGAAGACCTATAGTTTACTTAAGATCTCAATTAAGAACAATTAAATCGACAAAATGGAAATATTCACATTTTTATCAAGTGGAAAACACGGGAGAGGCAAAAATGATATTTAAGAGTGTTGGTGAACCTAACTACTCTCGTATTATCATAAACGATGATTTATTAGGATCTAGAGCATTGTTAGGAAAGGTAGATTTTTCATCTCCATGTGATAAACACATCAAACTTCAATTTTATTTCTAACGCATTATATTTAATTGAATTTTTTTTTAGTACAAGCGATTTGAGGATGAGGTTTACACAAATATTCGTTCGGTATCTAGGGATTTCCAACCACATGACATGGCTGAAGGTGGAAGAATTTAACCAAGATATACCCCACTATAAATACATATTTTCTTTACTTGTTTATGGCCATTTCAGGCCATCCTATTTCATCGAGATACAATTTAAATCGCAATGTAATTTTCTTGTTCCTAAATGGATTTCTTCATATTTTTCAGGTTTATGCTCTACTCCGAGAAAAGATCCGTCGATTGGATTAATGAATTACAAATAAAAAATCTAATTTTTTGTTTAGTAAAAAATTGTTGGCCATGGATTCCTTTCCGTTTGATAACACAGAGAATTGATGTGTAGGAAAATCCTCTCGTCTGAGACTTGTCACTGGGTGTTGAGAACCTACTAGCATTCAACTACTCATCTAGAGCTTTCTCCATCGTTGTGTCAGGAGTGTTTACACGCATTGTAGATTCAGATGCAACAGTAATTTCTCCTCCAATGGGTTCTGTATAAGTCATTTAAAATTCAAAGGTTGTTTAGGACAACAAGAATGAATCTTATACAAATCCTTCGAAAAAATTCATCTGAAGCAGTCCTGAACAACATAAATAAAAGTATCCGACAAATATCAAAATGCAGAGTCCCAAGTAGCCACTATAAATATAACTTCTCCTGTAAGATGTTTCCTATTTAGAGTTCAGTGCAGTCTTATTCTTAGGAGTATTTATGACAAAACAAAAAACCAAAATCCGTACTATATTGTGTTGGTATATACTAGGCTAGAAGTATCAGATATTTGCCTCAACTTCTTCTATTAAGTTTAAGATTTATGCAACTTCTTCTGTTGAGGTTACAAAATTCAATCTATAGCATCAAACATTCACTGGGAAATGTGACTCCTCGAGTAAGACAATGATACAACCAACACGTTTACAGACCTCTTCTTCTGTTACTTTAGCTAATCTTTCCTCTTGTCGATCCCACGTACGAACACTTACCTGTTGCATGAGAAAGGTCAGTCTGGCTAATCTGTTCTCTGCTAAGAAGAGCTTACCTGGTGGATGAGCTATAGTACACAAAATGAGGACCAGGACGAATCATCTTTATGCCTTTAAAGGCAGGGCCAACTGAAAACATCTGAAGATACAGATAACCAAGTGTTCAAGTGTTAACTGATTCACAGAAAACCATATTGTTTTCATTTCCATTTTCTCTTGAATTTTCTCGGCAACAAAACAGAGCAAAGCATGTGTGTCTGGGTTGGTGGTAGGGTAGTTTACCTGAGTATCAATGCCGCTCAACATTTGCAGTTCGCTCCTGTGGTTGAGATACTGGATGACCCAAGTTCCAGTGTGACGCCATCATTTTAACACTTATTTCTCTCATCCCCTACCATTCAACAACTACAGTTTAGTCCTATGGTTTAGATGTTGGATGACCCGAGGATGTAAATTGACAATGATGGATGCTATACAAAATACAGCACTGCTGTAAATTTTCCTTGCTAATTTTAGATAGATGGGACAATTCCCTAGAAATGCTTGGTGAAAGGTCTAATTATTCATATCAGTTTTTTGAGTTCTGAGACTGCATGAGATAACTTTATTTGAGGCATAAAAGATCCAGTTTCTGAATATAATAATCTTATATAAACCTAATGGATCTCAAATGCAATGAATTACAAAAGAGGAACCAAAAGAAATATGTAAAAGAAAGTGGCATTAGCTCTGTATTAATAATGAATGAAATCCAAGAATGTACATGAAATTACACAAAATTACAAATTTAGGATAATGAAGTATTACACCAATTTGTGAGAGATACTTTTAAAAAAGCAAATACAAACTTAAGGATCAAGATAGGCAGGACCAATTATAGGGGAAGCGGGTGGCTTTTGGCAAACGGTGGTTTGATTTGGAATGACAGGTCATGGAACCCAAAGGAAGAATCTGCTGCTTAGAAGACGATGACGACACCGAGGAGAGTTCCTTTACTGGATCCAGATTAGTCACAAATGGATGATTCAATAGCTTAGCAGCTGTGAACCTCTCAGAAGGGCTCCACACAAAGCACTTTCCCAAGAAATCTTTAGCCTCATCTGATAACCAAACAGGAATGGTGGGAGATTTGGAAGCAATCTGAAGCATGAGGTCCCAAGGTCTCGCCCCAGCTTTCAAATCCCATGGCTGCTTCCCAGTCAACATGTTGAGCACCACACACCCTAGAGCCCAAATATCAGAAGGTTGCTGCTGAATATCTTGAATGACAGTTTCTGGAGACCAATACATTGTAGTGCCTCCAGCACGCTCCTCTATAACCCTCTTTGTCAGACCCAAGTCCCCAATTTTAGGCACAAATTCAGAACCACCAGAATCAGTTTTGGTGACAAGTAAAATATTCTCAGGCTTCAAATCGCAATGCACATAACCCATTTCATGAATGTGCTTAACCCCTTTCAAAATCGCCTCGGTATACTTCCTTACTTGAAATTCAGGCAACCCATAACCCCCAGAATTGTTAATCAAATCCCTCATTGTTCCTCCATCAGCATACTCCATGAACATATTGAATACCTTATTACCATCAACACCAGCAGTCACATCATCTCCATAGCGGTGAATGATAAATGGGCAGCTACTAAACGTGCCAAGAATTGAATTTTCTGTAACTAGCTCAAGCGCATCACAGTATAATGTCGATTTCACTGCGAAAATTGGGGGTAAGGCATCTGCGCACATATTGGATTTTTTGACCCAACCCAAATACACCGACCCAAATCCCCCTTTTCCGAGCATCCGTCCTCGAATCCACTCGCGCCCAGCAACCGACAAGCTCTGTTCTTTCTTTGGCCTTGAACTCTGACCCATTGTTTGAAAAACAAAAATTCAAGCTTTCTGATGAAATAGGGTTTCTGGGTCTAACAAAACGAAAGCAAAGAGAAAAACAGAAACTGGGTAGCAAGAGAGAGAGAAGAACTCGTTGAAGCGATGATCAATCGGAGAAGACGATGAAAGTATTGATGTGAAAAAAAGGGTTTCGATTTCAAACCCCAAGTGTTTTCCTCTGGGGCGTACTGCGTATGGTTGACGCTGTGATTTGAATGAGGGTTTGGAAATCAGAGTTTCCTTTTGCTGGTTGGATTGGGTTTATATAGATGTAGTTCAACGCGTAATCTTCAAACGGTCGTATTTTTCTTTCGCGGCTTTTCCTTTCGCTTGAATTAATAATCCAGTAAAAACAAGATTTACGAAGATTTTGAAATACACTTCGTAAATCTTAAGCGACTCTTATTATTACAAGCTGAGAACATATCATGACCGTTGATTTCGGGAGATCTCGTGATAAAATGGAAATACCAAAAACTTTAAGTTGAACTATTAAAAATTAGTTTGTTTTTGTTGGAATATTAAAAAATAGTTTTATTTTTTATTTTTTATGCAGACAACAAAATTTTACCTTAGAGTTAATTAATCATTTTTATGTATTTTTCAAAATGATTTTTTTATGTTAGGACTTAATTTGATATTTTAAAGGTAATAATTTCCCGACTCTAATTTTATCCACTTATACTCCATTTTAAGGGTGAAATTAATCCTCAGAGTTCTGCTTGCTCCTGGCCACAAAGTGCTTTCAACAAGTTTCGAACACTTGTCATTGAAGCACCAAGTAGCTCGCCAACTGAAAGTGATAGTTTGTCAACCACACCACACCTTGTGATTAAAAATAAAATAAAATTTTGAAATACCAAAAAATTTGAAGTTTAGAAAGAAAAAATATATATATCTGTGTAATTTTTCCAATAAATGATTTAACTTTTCTTACCTAAAAAAAATGGAAAAAGGAAGAAGTAGCTTTATGTTACCTCATAAAAATAAAATAAAAATCGAAAGCAGACAAAGCTCCATTTCCCTTCTCCCCTCCGTCGTCCCAAAATATCTGAATCCCTCTTTGCCTTCAATGTGTTTATTGACCGGAAAACCCCCAACAAGCTGAGAAGATAATGGCTTGGAGGCTCTGTTCCCGCCGTTCCCTCCTTTCTTCTATTTGCCAAGTCCCAAACCTCCGACTGCAGCTTTCACTTCCTCCAAGGTCACAGTCCTTCACTCATTTTTTTTAATAAACTGTTGGTGCCAAAAACTCGCCGATCAGGTTCTGAAAAACCCATTTGTCTCTTTTCTCTTTCAGATTCGAAGCTCTGTATGATTCTGCTCTGAGCACTTCAACAAGTCAAATTAGCTGTGGGTTTTGCCCAAAATTTCAAGGTTTGCTTCCGTTTCTTGAATTTCATAGCTAATGATGTGTATTTGTGCATGTCTCTATGATTTGTATGTGTTTATAATCAAGTTATCACATTTTTGTTCCCTCGTAGACATTGTGGTTAGCGTGATGTTAGAATTGTGATATGTAGTCCACGTATTTGATAAAAGTTCTCATAGTAGACGTCAATTCTTTGCTTGAAACTGTGCCATTACCATTTCAATTTCTTAGAATGAAGTTATGTGTCAAAGGAAAAAAGGGTTACTGGATTTATGTTTGATAGAGGCTTCCTTGTCTTTGTACTTTGGACTGGTGTCATTGACATGTCTGTCATTATGGACAACCCTTAGCCTGAGGATTCATTCCATGGTCAAAATTACAACGCAACAAGATTACTATCCAATTCATTTAAAGAGAATGGGTTCTTGAACTTTGGATTTTGTGGCTTGGTTCATTTAAATTTTAAACTATTACTGTTACATTGAAGCCAACTTTGTGCTGTCTCTGTAAAATTAGATGCATGACGATGCATTATCTATATATTTTATTCCTATTGTATTAATAGGTTTTCTTGCTAGTTCATTCTTGCAGACAAAATATAGCTTTGCTTTCACAAAATAATAAAAGATAAAGATAAAGCTTTGCAACACGTACGTTTTCCCTCTGAGTTCTATGCTTCTGCTACCTGTATGACTTTATTGAATATGTTGCAGCTTCACGGTCATATGCCCGTGGTGGGCATAAACCTTATGATCTCTTTGGAAATGGACAACCTGGTGATAAGGACTTTAGGAAAGCCTGGAAGAAAGAGATTGATGAAGATGCTTCTTTATGGACAGGAAGTGAAGAAGAAAGTGACAATGAAAAGGATGAAAAGAGTCATCTGGAAAAAGAGATTCGAAAAGTAAGACAGCAGGCAAGGGAGCACTCTAACCTGATTGATGCTGATGACAGTGATGAGCTGAGAAGTGTTTGGTCTGGAAGTGACGAGGAGAAGTCTCTGTGGACTGGTAGTGAAGGTGATGATGACAACGATATTCCTACTGAACCCTACCCAAATGAAAGCAGTGATAAACATATAGATAAACTATTTGAGTTTGAGGAAACATCAAAGTATCGGACAATCTCAGAATTATTGAAAGCTGAGCAGGAACCGGAAGAATTGTCCCCCGGAAAGCAAGCTAGGAAAATTGCAGTTGAGAATGCCTTGAAAAAGTTGAAGAAAGGGCCAGATGGTCGATACATTAACGTATGGGAGGTCATGAGTGACTTAGATATTCTAATAGGAGCATTTGAAAATATAGTTTCAGGACCAGAATATGCAGAGCTTAGACAGGGAGGGCCTAAGAAATTAAATATTCAGTTTTTCAAGGATATACAAGCCCGTATGAGAGATCCAAATTATAAGTTCTCACCTGAGTTAAAGTTGAAACCAAAGAGCAAACTAGTTCGTAGAAAGAAATGGCAGAAGACACAATCTAGGCGGAGGAAAGCACAAAAGCGCTAGGTTTCTCTTTCCTCTTTATTGTTTCAATCTGTCAAACTTAGAAAGTGTAACATGTGTATCGTTCAAACTTTGGAAATTTTGATATATGTTTCTGAATTCTATATACAATTTTTTTGTTGGCCTATCTATCATCCAGTTATACTAGTGGTCAGGTTCCACACATGTTTGTTGTGTCAATTACGTTATTTTGCTTTGGAAGATGCTAGGGTGACTTCAAAAAAATTACCCAAAACATAGGCTCATCAGGAAACCAACCCATTTCTCCAAAATTTAGAAAAGCCACTCATTTTGGGCTTGAAAAGACCAAGACACCCTTATTTAATACAGCACTCGAGCCTTTTTCATCTTTCTCTGCTCAAGAATGTCATATTCACATTGGCTTCTGAATATGTTCTAAAGCAACCCTTTTACTGGCAAACTGTACGCCGATTGTGGTCTCGCATTTCATGTCATGATCCTGCAGACGCCTATCCAGGCGAGAGCCAGCTGTGGGCAATCTGTAAGCCTAACATTGTGCAGTCCCCTCTAGGGTACAATGCTTATTCTGGATCAGAGGTCAAGGAAACACCATGTTTACTGACCTGTATGCATGATTTTCTTAATCAATGTATCATCACCATGATCATCTTTACCACACACAATTATCTTGTAGTGTGCCCCTTTCAATATTTTGTTATAATGAAGTACCCTCAGCCAAGAAGCTTCGTATAATGGTAGATATCCATAAGTACGTTTCGATTTTTCTGTATACCTTAGCTTGTCTTTCTTCACAATCACAGCTAGCCTCTTTGATTAACAACTGTGCTGCTTTTGATTTTTCAGGTATTTCCTTGAACATCCTGAGTATTTAACAGGTGGGGTAATTCTGTCACAATTTTTCATTTCAAATCCTGGGGCTGTTGTAGGGAAATTATGTCCACAAGTTTCCTTCTTTGACAGCATATTGATGCCATTAGATCTCTTGAACCTGGTGAAGGTACACTGATGCAGGAAAATCATATACAATGTATGCTGTTTTCAATATTTAATTGCTTCTTTCGGAATTGTGGCTTCTGGTTTCCATCAGATCATGTTCCCTGTAAGTCTAAAACCATGTATGTAGTTTTGTCCTAGAAAAAGTTGTTTGCAACAGGCGGGAAAAAGTATGTCTTTTGCAAAACCATTTGTTTCTGCTTTCAATTATGTAAGTAATATGGTTGTCTTTTGCAAAACCATTTGTTTCTGCTTTCAATTATGTAAGTAATATGGTCTAAGTCACCTCCATAGAAAAGTTAGTATGCTGAAGTGTTTGGAAATTTCCACTTATTACATGATGCTGCAACTAGTGATGTCCTATATGAGTTTGATGAGATACCGTATATATTGTGATTCCTTTATGTATTGACCTTGAGGGAAGCAGTGAATACTGTTCTTGTGCAGCTATTACTTTTTTACTCATTTGCCGTTTACATCTTGGACACATTATATTAAGATAAGTTTAGACATAAAATACTGGTTATACCTCCTGTTACTTTAGCCATGGTATCTCTTGCCTGCTTGCAGAAAACAAATTAACGCAAAGCTAAGGGTCTTGTCTTTATTCTGCAGAAATTAGCATGGCTTGGTCCAGATGGCTCCGAAGACTTGCAACTTGATAAAGCAGCGCTCCTTCCTCCTCCGTACTTGGAGGCAACTATGCTTGACCCTGTTGTTCGGCCTACAAACAACCCAGCAACAACAAGAATTCCATTAAAGATTTGCAGTTGTAATCCAAGGATCAGCACAAAGTCAAGGTAGAAGGGCCTGGTCAATGTTGGAACAGTAGTCGTTACTTGTAGGGCTCTTCTGTTTGTTTCCCTTTTTTCTTTCCTTTTCTTTGTTGTTTAGTCAAGTGCAACTGTTATGGGGTCCTTCTGCAAGCTGCAACTCAAAGGCACAGACAAAGATTAGTCACACTCAAAAGGAAAAATGACAATGAAGAAGCTTTGCTTGCCTTTTTATTTTTATTTTTATTTTTTCCTTCCTTCCAATTGAAGTGTTTCAAATCCTTCAGTCTTTTACTCCTTTCCCCATTTCCTGGGTTGGGGTTCTGTTGTCTTGCTAATCCAACAAGATAGTCTCCATGGAAATGTCATGCCAAATGCGTAAATGTTGTCATATTCTTGTAACTAGCGGATACGCAAGATTCAGTCAAATTTCAACTCTCTTTTTAAGTAATGAATGCAATTTGTTTTTACTTGCAGTGATAATATGTGTGGGAGAAACATGCCTTGCTTGATCTGCTCCGCCTTTTCTGACATACAACATATTACCTGCAGTAATAATGTGTGGGATTTGAATTTATTTTTTTTTTTTTTTTTTTTTTTTTTTTTTTTAGCTTTGGAAATCAATACCAAGGCGCAAAAAGCGCAAGCAAATACAGAAGCAGGAGTCCAATTAGGAGGGGACTACAAGCACGCATACATCACAACCAAAGACCAATTTAGATACAAGACAAAGCAGAAATGCCAGATAAAGAAAAGAAACAGACGGTGCCATAGATGGGCAGAGGACGTCGAAATCTAATCTAGCATTCCTCAAGTGCTGTGAATTGGGGGGCAAGGAAGACCATCTTTGTCCAAGATTCCAATCAAAGAGGATGGGGGTCGGTTGACCCAAATAGAAAGGCTCATCCTCGACAAAGCTAACTTGGCTAAGTGATCTGCTGCCAAGTTTACGGTCCTAGGGACCCATGACCAGTTACAATCCCGAAAGGTAGAGCAAGAGTTCCTGATGCTACGAAGGATTGGATAGAGCTGCCACCTACCTCTTGGGATTGAACGATTTAGGCAAGATATGGCCTCCTTGGAATCAGATTCAATGACTACTCTAGTGTGCCCTTGTTGGATGGCAAAATTACACCCTTCCATAATAGCCAGAGTCTCCGCTTCGATGGTACATTCTGCTTCAACAGAGCAAGCAAGGCCAACAGGAAAAGCTCCACTAGAATCACGTAATACCACTCCAATACCTGCCAAATGAAGCTCCGGTTTCCAAGAAGCATCCACATTAATTTTTACGACACCATTAGCAGGAGGGGACCAAAATTGGGGGGGTTGAGCCACAAGAACAGGGGATCTGCGAGTTGCATTTTTCAAGGCTTGAGCATTAAGGTAGCTCCTACAAGCGGCCTGAGATTCATAGATTACCGCCATTGGTGATAGTGGGGTGAGATTCGATAGCCATCTTGCATCGCATTTTCCAAATGTACCAGCACATGTAACCAACACTAGTCATGATGTTGTCCTTGTCACCCGAATTTTCCTTCAAACTCAAGGAGAGGGATAAAAGCCATTTTCAAAAGTGGTGATAGTTCCTTTGTCAATTCGCAAATTTAGATAGCTGCCAAACCAGATAGGCTCTACTCAGTTACAAAGAAGCAACAAATGTTCAAAGCCATTTGTCTTGCTCGCTCTGCTCCGCCCTTTCTGACATATCAAGGCAACAGTAAATCATAAATTCACATACGTGTAAATGCCAATTGAATTTTTAGGTATGTACAGGATAACTACCTCCAATTTTAATTTTTACTATTAACCACTTGAACTTTGAACATTATTATAATTTACTATTTACGTAAGGTATTTTTCATTTCTCCTTTAAAATTTATCACGTGCTCCTCAAGTGGATGGATGTTTTAGTGTATCTACATGTTGGGCCTCATTGATGAAGGGAATGTTGACTTATTGGCCCAATAAATAATAAATTTTTTTAGTATATATATATATATATATATATGTATGTATAAAGCAAAATGCAGAGAATTGTGAAACATTTAAAATACCAGAAAATGTCCTCTATGAGGATAATATGGTAAATTCACACATTTTTATATTTAAAAATTTAAAATTAAAAGAAAATTAATGAATCATATTTTTATGGAACACAACTACCCATTATCTTTTTTAATTCTAAAATAAATTTTAATTTTTTTATTAAAAAAAGCCTCTCGCAAGCGCGAAAGCGTGTGCGGAGAGGCTAGTATACATAATTGTAAAAAAATATTTAAATGAAGTTGTAAAAAAAAATACAAATAAAATTGCAATACATAAGTCAAATTTGGCATGGGCTCATATCGGCCTGTTTAGTGACCCGACACGAGGACGGCCCGATCTTATTTGGACTAGGGCCATAAGCTCGGGCAGAAATTGATGATTTTCATAAAGGATCCGGATCCTCTACTATGATTTTCTCTGCCATGATCTGCTTTACTTTCGTTGTTCACATGTCACCTCATTAAAATTTAATCTAAGGGATTTAAGCTGGACACATCATCCACAAAATAAAAACTCTATTTTGTACTTAATGCAACAAAAAAAAAAAACCAAAATCACCTTAACTTGACTAACTCAAATTACTCGAACTTAACGTCTTCCCTAATTTTCTAACCTTTTTTTCTTCTTCTTCTTTTCCCTTCTCTGAACGTTCTCCCCAAAATTTGAGCGTCCATCTATTCTTTCCCCAATTATTGTTCTCTCTTTAATTACCTTCTACAATTTACGAGACTGTCTTATTTTTGTATTAAAACTCTTTTTACATTTTTAAGGAAAATGCTAGGGAGACCAACTTTAGATACCAACTTGTGTACCATCTCTCTAATAGAGCGTGAGACCCATTTTATTGGTGGGCTTTACCTCTATTAGAGAGATGGTACACAAGTTGGTATGTAAAATTAGTCTCCCTAGCATGACCCTTTTGTTTAGTGTTAAATGTTAAGAAATGATTGAGATAAGTTATTAACCATGGAAATAGGTCGAGATAAGATATGAATCATATGATCAAACTCCGGGCAAATAAGATTAGGGCTTCATGCACCCAACAACTTCAAGCAATCCAAGAAAAATGAAAATAATTATGGCACTACCGGTTTATTAAATGGACCGACTCTAAACATGTCAAGCTGGGTTGGACCGAGCCTCTACCCTTAATTAAGCACACAAGTTGAGGAACTTTTGGCCCCTAATTAATTTTACACAATACGCCTACATTTTATTTATTTTTCATAAATTAAAAAAAGAGCTAAATGTCAAAATGAGTTACTCATTTGGCTAATTTAGTCTTCTATTTTCTCCTATTAGCCTAATAAAATACATGAACTAAATTGACCAATTTGAAAATACATAGACTAAATTAGTAAAATGCATAAAATACATGAACAATTTTGACATTTAACACATATTTTTTTAAATAGTAATGAACTAAATTGGCTAACTTGAAGAAACACGACTAATAAATTGGCCAAATTGAATACAACACATCGTCACTAAATCGGGCCAAATAAGTAAAACACAGGAAGAGTTTTGACCTTAACTTAAAGGCTTTAAGCAAAAAATAAAAAATAAGAACCTTTAAAATTAGTTTCAGTTCCAATTTAAAAGTATAAATTGGCTAATTAAAATAGTTCGAGTCTCAAGTTTTCAAATATATATAGGCCAATTGACGGTAAGTATGAAGTTTAAGTTGAGGGAGCAATTGACAGATTGGTGAAACTGAAATTAGAAGAAGCGGATAACGCATTCTTCTGTTCTTAGTTGCCGAAGAGAAAAAAACTGAAAATAAATTGAGGAACTGGAATGAATTCGTCACTCGTGTTTCGTCGCTTCTGGTGCTTCAATGCCGCAACTTCATCTTCTTCTTCTTCAGCTTCTTCTACTCTATGCTTCGCTTCCAACAAGAAGCCCCTCGTCTTCTTAGGCTCTCCTCAGGTCTCTTCTCTCTCTCTCTCTCTCTCTCTCTCTCTCTCTCTCTCTCTCTCTCTACATATATACATATGTGTACATTTGTCCTCATGATGACATAAAATGTTTACTTTTCTGAAGGTATCTGCAACTGTTCTTGATGCCCTACTCAATGCATCCACTGCCCCGGACTCTTTGTTTGAGGTATTTGAAACAAATTTTCCTTTCGGTCGAGCTATATAATTGCCCCCTTTGTTATGTTATAAGGAACCGTATATCATCTAACTCTCATGTTTGGTCTTTAAGGGACTAAGATTGTTGTCCTTGTAAACTGATTTTAATTGAGGTTTCTAATAAAATTCAGATTGGTTGGCATGAAAAAATTGGCTTGGGATGCACTTATGGTGGCTTCATCTTAGGATGCCACTAGCATTTCTCATTTTGATCATTTTAGTGTTTGTCTTATGGGTTTGTATACAATTTAGAAGATGTGACTTGCCCTTTTAGTACATTATGCAGAAGGAGTGGTCATATTGGATGGTTAAAAATCGTAAATGGAGTAAGTTTTAATCAGTTTGGCTGTGTTGCATTTATCCCTTTTCATTGTGTTGCTAGGTCATAAGGCATAGCTAAGAGATCGATTGGTTCAGTTTTATGTCAAACTTGTTAAAAGTTTGGCATATTGTGTATAGGTTTACTAATATTGGAATCCTTGAAGGAATGATCTTTCGTACACAAATAAAAAATAAAAAATCTCAGTAGGGACTCATCTTGCCCAGTAAAGAAGATGATACTATTTAGATTGTGCAGAAACACTAAGTAATTGCTTGCAGTATAAATGATGAATTTGTTGTGATGTAGGTTGCAGCAATTGTTACTCAGCCGCCATCCAGAAAGTCTAGGGGGAAAAAGTTGATGCCTTCTCCTTTAGCACAGCATGCTCTTGACAGAGGCTTCCCTTCCAACCTTATTTTTACTCCTGAACGGGCTGGAGAGGTAATTTTCTATCATAATTTGGTAGGAAATGATTTCCCTACTTATTCTTTCTTAGTAATCAATGTAGTCACTAGTAATGTAGTTAGGAGAACCCTTGACTTAACTGTAGGAATCTTCTATATTGGGGTGGTATTCCTGATGTGGAGATGCAACTTTTGCAATTCTAATGCTGAAGATCATAACTTCACAATTGTGACCATAAGCAATAACCTAATACTGCTTCTTTTTGCGCTGGAACAATTAAAAAAGGTTTCCATGCATTCCCATTGTTTCTAAAAGTTTCTTTCTTAGCATTTAGATGAAAAGGGTTCATCTTTATTTACTGTTTGTGCAGGACGTGTTCTTATCCAACTTAAGAGATTTGCAGCCAGAACTTTGCATTACTGCTGCATATGGGAATATTTTACCTAGCAAGTTTCTAAATATCCCGACATCGGGTTAGTTGAATCAACTTTCCTGAAAGTTTTGGTCTCTGCTACATATTAATTTCCATGAACATAAATGGGCCGGGCTTATTTGTTAAACTAATATATTTGTGTGTAACCAATTTATATTTGAATTCTGCGTTTGACTTCGGAAATTATGATTATCATCTGGGCATGCTTACCTGGAATGGGAACCATTTACATTCCTCCTCATTCCAACATTTATTTAGAGTAAAAGAATCAGGAGAAATGTGGGGTCCATCGATCCCACATAAAATCAGGACACCCATTTTGGGGTTTTCAGACTTGGGAATGGAATGAACTGACCAGGAAAGAACACATTTTCTAATGATACAGCCGTTGGACCTGTCATTTTAATAATACCAAAAACATCATTATTAATCCATAACTACATACATGTTAGCAACGGGAAACAATTGCATCATGCATTTCGTAGTCCTTCTGTTTCAATAGCACCAGGAATTTCTATTTCTATGTTTGTAGAAAAATACTTTCAAAAAGTAATTATAAATATGCAAAATTAGTTTGTAGAAAAAACATTCTTGTAATAGTTATAGAATATTTTGGATAGTAAGTTTTTCATTTTAAATATAGCAGTAATAAACAGTGGAAAAAAAACTTTCTTTGAAAGGTATTGTGGTAGCCTAATTATAATCAAATTTTCTTTTGGCATTTGAAATATTTTTATTAGTTGACAAAAAGTATAAGTTATTTTGTCCAATGGCATTTTCGTAATCAAACTGGTTTTATTTCAGTGCAGAAATTAATGTAGTTGATTTCTGCAGGGTATTCATTTAGTCTACCATATTGATATTTTCCTTTAATATGACATCTTTGATTTAAAATATGAACTGACTAGTTGCATATCTTGAGTGAACATAAATGACTTGACAGTATCTCTCTATGTTGAAACTTGATCTGGTGCCAACATTATTTCTCAATCCAAAGTGACAATTGTCTCAGGCACAGTCAATATACACCCAAGTCTTCTGCCATTATATCGTGGTGCTGCACCCGTTCAAAGAGCCTTGCAGGTTTCTTTGTTTCGATGTTCCTTATCTCGTATGTTAAAAATATTTGCATTTTATTTTATAGTCACATTGTAAATTTCAGAATAAGATGTAATTCTACATGTTTGAATTTGTGAATCAGGATGGTGTTAAAGAAACAGGAGTATCCTTAGCATTCACTGTCCGTGCACTGGATGCTGGACCTGTCATTGCCTGTAAAAGAATGGAAATTGAAGATCAAATTAAGGTATGAATGATTCTAAATTTTTAGGATCAATCTAATCTGTGTTATTTCTGGGTCTGATTAGGCAATGATTTTTCTGGATCAAGTAGTAAGTTGGTAACTGACAGCCCTTGAGGGGCAAGATTTTCTTATACACGATGGTTTCTCTATACATGCTATGATATATATTAGTGCATACAAGTTAATTGCAATTCCTAGCCAAAAAGAAGGGGAGAAAAGATTAATCTTCGCCTGTTTGATGTTATGTTTTTGGGTTCATCTGACGTGTTATTTAGGTGTCCGAGTCTAATGATTTGTCTGGATCAAGTAGTAGCTGACATGCCTTAAGGTGCAAGATCCATGATACATGGTTTCTGTGTACATCATGTTGTGATATATTTTGGTGCCTACAAGTTAGTTGCACTTCCCAGCCAAAAAGGAGGGAAAAGTTGATCTTCATGAATGCAATGTGCAGACGTGCACACACACGTGTACACACATAGCTGCAATAGTAACAGTGAGAATTTCGGAAATTTGGTTTATGGAGAAGGAAATTTATATAGGGGCTGAAATGAACATCTAACTAGGCTTAGACAGCATCACAGAATCCTAGAGAGAAGCATATGCTTGCAGGAAATTTCTGTAAGTATATTCATGTCTCAAAATAAAGGTTCACGAGCATTATATAGAGTTCTGCTAGGCTGGCTACTAAATGTAATTCATGAATCCCAACTATAAAATGATACATACATGGCACCAACAATTATTAGGAACTACAACGATGCAATTTCTAGAAGCAAAACCTAAGAAAAACCCTAGGTAACAGAAGTACTAAAAGGCATGAAATCTTTCATTTATGTCATGATTCAATTGATGATTTTTATCATCTATGATTGAAGTGCTATCGGAAAGGGGTCCACCTTTCCGTTTGACAAGATACTTTTGGTGACCCTCTCCTCTAGTTGAGATAATCTGATCACCCACACCTGAATTTTCTTATTCAGTTGTGGAGAGATGGAAGATGAGCTTTTGAACATTTGGTCATGCCTCCTTTGGTAAAGGAACTAAGTCAATGGGCTTCCGAGGGAGTAATGCACTATCTCAAGGCTGTTGTAACCTTTTGACCTATTCCCTGGCCACATACGAAATGCAGGCGTCATGTCCAGCATAATTGTACTGATGTTATTTATGGTGTAACTGCTTATAAACGTACGCCAGATGCCGTGTATTTCGGTATCATCAAGGAGCGGAGAGCACATGGACTAAAATTGGTATAAATCAATCCTTGATCAGCAGCTCATCTACTAGACCATTAAACTCCTCATGTTTCACTTGGATTCATACAATCTTCTTGAACCTTTGGAAGTTGATGACATGCTCTCATATAATGCACTAGAGGAAGTTAATTGGGTAGTTCTTGAGGATTCACATAGGAGAAGTCCCCCAGCAGCTTACTAACTTATTTCGACATTTGGGAAGCAGCAGTGGCTGATTTCTTGACTTATTTCATTTTATAAAATTATAACTCCAATTCCCTTGCTTTCCAATTGGAGCCTCTTCTTGGTAAGAATGGAGGGAATTCTTCATGATTTTCTTCACCTTATTATATTATGCATTTCAGCATCACTCGTTGGCTTCAGCACAATGCTTTTGATTTTTTTTTCCCTTTGGGTGTGGGGGGTTGGTAGGGCTCCATTCCTTTGGGTGTGGAGGGTTGGGAGGGGTCTGTTCCTTTATAGTCCTGCTTGGCTTTTGTGAGTGGCAGTACTGCTACTCTGAAATGCACTCTGTCTTGGATCTGAACCTTTTCAATTGTTCATGGTTTTCAATATAATTTTAGGGTTGCCGCCAGTTCAGAAACATTTTCTTAATAATATTTATTCTGGTTTGCATGCAGGCACCGGAGCTACTTGATTTGCTATTTTATAAAGGTGTGCTTTGTTTTTCATAAGAAACTTATCTTTTAATTTATAACGTATTTCTACTATAGTTTAATATTGAGTCTAGTGGGTTGGTGCTTTTGTAATCAGTGGCAGATTACAATTATTCACCTATCGTGCAAAGGGAATGGTATCATCTATTAGAGAACTTTCTAAATAAAGTTTCTTCTGGGTCTTTCTTTTGGTGCATAATCCTAGTGTCTGTTCTCTGGTTTCAAGTTGGTTTATTATTTGTTTCTAGGTTCCCGTTTGGTTCTAATTTGAGCCCCCATCTGTTTCAAATTTTGGGGCCCCAATTGAATTATTGTGACTGTCCTCTTTCTAAGAAGGTTTCCATTTGTTTTTTCTTTTTCATTATTAAGTTCCAATGAAGTTTTCAAGTGTCGATACAAAAGGTGTCTTACTAAAATGAAATAGACTTAATTTATGGATACCTCCTTTGCTTTGCAAGACATCCAGCCATTGGCCTGTGCAACTGTCCTGATCAAAAGACAGCCATGACTTCAGTTATGGTGTTAGTCTTTGGCATTTATTGTTTCTCATGTATCATTTTGCTGAGGATATTCAATGAGCAAGTCACTTTTGTGCTACATGGTTTTAGTCTCTATGCCAGTACAGTCAATATTACCAATTTTGTGCATCTTTTGGTTCAGCTACATTTCAATGACGTAACCTAACTCTTTTATTATGCAGGATCTAAACTATTGATTCGTGAGCTTCCTTCTATATTTGATGGATCGGCTAAAGTGAAAGCACAGCCCCAGGATGACTCCAAAGCTACCTTAGCTCCCAAGGTACACCTTGCAGTTGAAATGACTAGTATGTTTCTGGATAATCAATATTTGACCAATTATTCTGCTGCAGCAGACTGGGGCCCAATATGCTTTCTATGGTCACAGGTTATTTTAAGTTTAAGTTCATTTTTGTTTTACATAGATTGCTTCTGAGGAGTCGTGGCTATCCTTTGATGAGGAAGCTCCAGTCCTACATAATAAGGTATGCTCTCTTCTTTTCCTTAAATTGGATTACAGAGTCATGACATGCAACCTCTTTAGGTTCGTGCATTTGCAGGGTGGCCTGGAACTCGAGCTAAAGTTGTAATTGTTGACAACAAAAGTGGTCAAGACAAAATCACGGAGCTTAAAATTATCACAACGAAAGTTTGCAGCCGTAGCAATATTCAGGTCAATCAAGCAGATGAGATCACTTTTATAAAGCCTGCATTAGTATTTCCATGTGGAGGGGGCACAGCCCTTGAGGTGCGTTCTGTCAATTTTTGTTACCGTCTAGTTTTTCTGCTAGCTTAGAGGTCAAAATGCAGACAATGTGCTCTTGCATTTTTATTTGCCGAACTGATTTCTTTTTGAGCTATATATTTGTTGTCCAAGGTTTTATATTCCAACACCGTCTTCGAGTGTTTTTCTTTTTCTTTTTTTTAATCTTCTACCATTGAATTATGGGATCTATATTTACCAAATTTTGTTTACAAATCTAGGCCCACTTCGAACCTCTTTTTTTTATTTTTAAATTTAATTTAATTTAATTTTTTAACTGATACTTGAACACCTCATTCATTTCGGTGAGCCTAACATTATTGATCCAAAAATACATCTTATGCATTTGTCTTCGTCTTCAATCTAAAATACATATTGGAAAAGGCATATATACAATGATGAGATTTTTTGATCAATTCTCAAGCAAAACGTGCACAGCACTTGTGACCTGATAATTTTTGTGCATTGACAATTTATCTAGGTGTTGGAGATTCAGCTTCCAGGTAAGAAGGTAATGAGTGCAGCTGCCTTCTGGAATGGTGTGCGTGGTCAAAAGCTGAAGATATTAAGTGCTGCTTATGTAAACGATCATTTAAGTTAAGTTTACAATTTTGAGCAAATTCATCGAGTAATGTTGTCATTATCGGTAATTTAATTCTTTTGATTAATTTTATTGGAAATACATGTAACATAATATGTTATCCACTGAAATTCTTTCCTGTATTTGTCTCTTAAGTTAATTTTATTTTTAGCAAATGGCAAAGATAAGCACACGTTTGGCTCCTTACTTAAGAGTCTTTCATCTTTGCTTGTAAATCAAAGGTGCATACAAAAATACAAGTTTCAGCACACATGTCAAACTTTTGTAAGAAGCAATGACTCTCTGTGTACGAAACCAAGTATTTTTCTAGAGATAAAACTGATCAATCTTTCTCTAACTTGGGAAGCAACCATTTAGAGGCAACAATGTACGTGGTAGAAAAGTAGTTCAGCCCTTGAAAATGGGGCATCCTTTTACTCCCACGCTACTTTCTTTCTCTGGGGGCTCCTCTATCCCCACCTTCAATTGAGAATGACCCTAACATTTTGTGTGTCCACTTGCTGGCAACAAGAAGGGATCGCCACCGGCTTCATCTTTCTTGTGGATTTGGCCCTTTTGACCGCTGGCTCATCTGATGAAGGGACCGAGGATTTTTAGTAAGAGGAACACGATATATTACATGTCATATTTTAACTAGATTGTTTAGTCACTCAGTCATGCTATCTAACACGAACAGCCTTCATGCATCTCTTTAACTAGTTAAAATTATAGCTTTTTTTTTTGGTCTGAATGTTAAAATTATAGCTAGTTTGGCAGCCGGTGGCCATATTCTTATTTCTAAATAAAATTTGAACGGCACAATCCTCACAATCATGCCTTCAAAATAAAGGACACTTCCATTGTCCAAACCGCCAAAATATAAAATGCCTATACGCATTTTCTTAAATGTGATTTTTATCCTAGCAATTTCTAGAGAACATTTGCCGCTATTCCTTTGGATGAATACAAATGCATGTCTCACAAAATGATATTTCGAACATTTTTAAATTTGTAAAAAGAGAAAACAAATCTTTCAACTCATCTTTTTCCCCCTATTATTCTGGATAGATTGTACCAATGGAACCCATTATTGCGGGCTCTTCTCTTATAAATAATTTAAAAGCAAAGCCACAGTCATTGAACAGAATAAATTAATGCAAAGCATACATAAAAGTACTTTACAAAAATTTCCGATTAAAAGTGCCGGTTTTTCGTACACATCTTCTCAAAGCCTCTTCAAAGAGTGCTTTCAAAATGCTAAAAGCACTTTCTGATAACCAAAAACGTTTAATAAAAACAATTTTTCAGACAGCAGAAATGCTTCCTCCAGAATGTGACTATATAAATACCAACTCTCGCAGCATATCACTCATCTCTCTCTCTCTCTCTCTCTCTCCTACAGAGAAGAAAAAATGGGTGCTCTTGATTATCTTTCCAACTTTTGCACTGTCACCAGTACAAGGAGCAAGCGCAAAGCAATGCAGGTACTCATTATTATTATCACCCACCAAGCCCCTTAATCAATATCTCTTTTATTTTTTATATTTTGAAGAATATCCTTAAGATATCTGGGTTTTATTTTTCATTCTCTCTCAGACAGTTGAGATCAAAGTCAAAATGGATTGTGATGGCTGTGAAAGAAGAGTCAAGAACGCTGTTACCTCCATGAAAGGTTCCCTCCTTTTTTCATATCAAAGCTTACTTTTGTCCTTGTAGTTGCAGTTTTGTGTCATGTCTCCACAGAAGCAATCAGAAGAACAAATGCATGTTGAAGAAAAGAAAAAAAAACCATATTTGAGGTTGAAGTTTCTGAAATGGCGAAACTGAGCATGTCAAATTTCATGCTTACCTGGAGAAGTCGGAGGTGGGTTTAATTAAAGTTAAGAAATAAAAAGAAAACACAAGAGTTCGTTTGAGGTTCTTTTTTTCCTTATATAAATAAAGAATTAAATATCATTGGAAGGTCTACCCAGAACATATAAAATTTTCTCAACAATTAATTATTATTATGTGTTCAACAAATTGTCCTAGGAAATATTAATCATCAAGCTCATTATCAAATTGCGCGTTAGTCTTCCTTTTTTAAATTCTCTTATGCCTTTTATAAAAAGATTTAAGTGCAACTTTGCTTTGATCTTATATTCTTACAGAAATGTTTTATTAAATTAATTCGTTTGTTCATTGTTCTATATATGCTATATAAAGTAAAATATGTAACTGTAAAATCATAAAGATGCACGGGAAATTCTCCTATGAGGACGTCCAAATGTTATTATTGTGCGGATGCCGTGTATTTTGTATTATTCATCCATACTTTCCTCTCTATTTACCATGACGTCTGCACGGTAATAATGAGCAGACATCCGGATGAGAGAATAACTGTAGATGCACAATTAACAATTAATAGGGTTTTATTTTATCTGTTGTGTAACTGTAGATGCACAATTAACAATTAACAATTATTTAGGTGTAAAAGCTGTGGAGGTGAACCGAAAACAAAGCCGGGTGATTGTGAGTGGGTATGTTGAACCAAACAAGGTGTTAAAGAGGGTAAAAAGTACAGGCAAGAGAGCTGAGTTTTGGCCGTACATTCCTCAACATCTGGTACACTACCCGTACGCCTCTGGAGTTTATGACAGAAGGGCACCAAATGGGTATGTCAGAAATGTGGTTCAAGCTTTTCCAGCCTCCATGAATGGCCCTGAGGAGAACATGGTCTCCCTCTTCAGTGATGATAACGTCAATGCTTGTTCCATAATGTAGTAAGCCCTAATAATAATTCATTCAGGAAAGAACTGCAGAATCATGCACTTTGTAAACTCTAGTTTTAATTAGTTTGTACAATTGGCAATGGAATTGTCTCTATGTAATTGTCGTGTGTTGTTATCGATGATCTACGTATTATAATATGAGCGAACGACTAGTTTATACTATATATATATAAGTGGCTTGTAACAAAGCATGACAGTGTGTCTTGATACTAAACAATAATTTCTACTTTTACAATATTATAATAAGCATATAATATAATCATCGCATCTCCACTTAATATGTTGTATTTAAAATGGATATTCAATATGGTATTAGAGCAATTAATTAATGTATATATTCACCAAATAGCTCTATTCACATTTTTCTTCTTAACAGATCCTAAGGTCGAATTTCTTCTCCCCAGTTGATAAAGAAAGATATAGATTTAGAAATTGAAGGTTTAAGAATCAATCTATTTCATTTCCATTCAAGCGTTGCTTTGATCCCAAAGAAAGAAAAGCATTGCATTTAACTTGGTCTGTTTTAATCCTACTGGACGGGCTATTACCATCAATAAACACACCAATATCTGTTTTACGTGTAGGTAATGGAATGGGGAAACTAATTAAGGACAAGATGGTTCTGAAAATTTGAAGTGCAGAATAACACATATATCATATATATATATATATATATATATATATATTTATATATATATATATAGCTTTCAGTGAGGAATCCTTCAAATAAGTTTATTTGAGGGACATCTTTGTGGGGCCCACTCCGTATTGTATTTCATTAATCCAAACTGTCTATTTTTTAAATAATCATTCAAAGATCATCTCTACAAAAAAATCACTTGAATCTGATATCATTTGACCACTCAATTGAGTTATTGAAATTTTAGTACTTTTTTAAAGTACTATGTTCATTGATTTTGTATGACACAATTGGATTTCAAAACGGTTTCCGATTTGTGTAATTTACACCTCAAACAAGGAGCATTACTCAAGCCACAAAAAGTCTTTGCTTGGCCTAATAATTAATGTGCTACACGGTGTTCATCTTTCAACGACATATCCCTGAGTTCTGGCTTTAACATAAATGGAGTGACATCATGGTATTTGTTCATAAAATATAAATTGATAAAAGATCTAGTAGTTTTATTAATACAAATTCGAAACACAAAGGGCTCGGGCTCGTTTGATTACACTTTCGCTTCTAGTTTTTACTTTATCTTCACCACATCATTGTAGCTAAGTACAATTTAATTAGTGTCACATTTTGGCTTCGCATGCTGCATGTCGCCGCTAAGCATGATTAAATAATGACAATTGGAGACAGCAAATAGATATATACTCACTTAATGCCAAAAAAGGAGAATGATTATAGGAAGCACCACCATTTTTTTAGAATAATCTTTTAATTATTTTAAACAAAGATTAAAGTAAATCTTAGGCCACTAGAAAAAGGAAACTTCTATTAGGCTCATGATCCTTGTTAAAGCCATCTCAGCTATGCCTTTACCAATCAAACTGACATTAAAAATAAATCCCACTAAGTCGTTATCATTTTTTTATTTTTTATTTTGGATGAGGGTCGTTATCATATTTTTTTTAATTTCAGAAAAAGCATTATTAGATGAATTAAAGAAATATATGATCTTGGGATCTTAAATCCTAATCAAATAAGGTTAGATATTTGCCTTTAATTATATTTTGTCATTCATTCATCTTCTTCTTCTTCTTCTTCTTCTTTTTCTTCTTTATTTTCCAATATATTTTGTGAGTAATTAATCTTACCAGAAGAGGATAAGATATACTGATGATCATTAGCACCGTCCAATCGGCCGATGTCGGGGAATTTTTTTGACCAGAAGTCAAGTCAACACGATTTATGTTCTTGTCTTTGATATCCAAAGTGAATAAAATAAAACATGATCCTTGGAACATGTCCATGTATTCAGGGAATGGCAAAGAAGATTGAAAATATATCGTTCAAACGTACCAATGTCGCTTTGAAAACAATCATCTCTTAACCGAACCAACTACTAATTATATTAATTTTTCAGATATTAATCAGTAAAGCGATCATATAACTCGAAATCCACCGACACAAAATTAGTAGGTTTGGGTTGATCGTCACTTGACTTGAGCACAATTATGATCACTACTACGTTTTCCTATTTGCGCGACCGCATTTTGCGCGACGAAGAAGTATTCGTCGCGCAAGAGATCAATATGCGACGGAAAAACACAATCGTCGCGCAA